CTGGAGCCGCTCCTAGAATAGTTATTAGAAAAATGTAACTATATAAGTATTAACTATTACACTCGTCAAACTTTCGAACAAAATTAACACCATGCGTATCAATCCAAAGAATTCTTATTACGTTATTCTGGAACAGGCTTAGCAATCACACATCATAAAGATCAATATTATTGGAATAATTTATCAATTAAATTATTGCGTTATGATAGTTCACAAAAGTTTTTTCTTTGTTAATCAGACACAGGTACTAAAACCGAACCTAAAAAACAGGTTCTGGAACCGGAATCTTTAAAATATTAAGAGCCGGAATCGGACCGAAATCTTTATTTTAATAGATTGAATACCGGAACCGAACAAGAATTTTAAACTAAATAGGTTTCTTAATGTTCTAACCTAACCATGACAATGATTTACATAAGATAAGTTATTACAATGATTTTGTTTTTACATGACATATTATGATTAATTGTTTACAAATTTACAATAACATATTTTCGATTTGTATATCTTTGATGAAGCTTATAAAGTCTTTATGATGGTTTCTACGTACGAGGACTAGTGATTGGTTTAGATGTTCTGGAATGTTATGTTTACTTCTGGCTGCTTCAGTTTGTCTGCATTCAACGAATATGTGCTTGATTGTCGGATGGACTCCACATAATGAGCATTCTGTTTGTTTTTCTCGGTTCATTTTATTTGTATTTTCTACCAAGATTTGCTATGTTTTTCCAACTTTCTGTTGTACGCTTTATTTCGCTGAGTTTAGTTTCTTTTCTTCTCCTTTCAAATGACCAGTTTTTTCCAATTGCCGTATTAATATGTCTAAGCGTGTCTTCATAAGTGCAGAGTTTTTCGTTTATTTTTGACATCTCATTATTGGCTGCTTCTTTTGCTAGGCAATCTGCTTCTATGTTAATGTGTCCAGGTATCCAGAAAATGGTAATTTCGTTTTCGTGGCTATTTACTGCTTCTATTTTTTTTGATTTAAGACTGTTGTTGTTTTCATGGCTACTTATCTTGATGAATCGGTGAATATGACATAGTTATTGGGTAGTTGAGAGTTTCTTATATTGTATTCTATAACAGAGTATATTGCTAATATTTCAGCAGAGAATATGCTACAATTATTGTTTTTTTTTTTTTAAATATTAGGAGCGATAATGGCTATACCAGTACGGCAGTACCATTTTCAGTTTATGACACATCAGTTCAGCGATATGTTTAAAATTGAGAAGTTCTTCAATTAGTTCATAAAATAGTGTTTTATAGGAGGTTGTACTTTTTTTCTTATTATTAGCTAATGATCTATTCAGAGATATTTTTTGATTTAATCGGTTGAATTATCTTAATGTTGTTGTTAGATGTATTATAGAATCGGAGATTGAATATTGTGTGGTAAGTAGATTTATGATTATACATTACATTTAGAGCAGCAAATTTGAGTAGTAATTTGTCTCTTCTATATTTTAAGGGTAGTTCACCAGAAATTACGTATTTACTTTCTATTGGGATACTTTTGAATGCTCCTATGCTTAATCTTATGCCCACATTGTGTATTATGTCCAATGTTTTAAGTATTGATTTTTTTTGCTGTACTGTAAAATATTGAGCCGTAATCTATTACTGATCTGATAAATAAGTCCATGTCCCCGGCGCCCCCCGTTGCAAATTTCGTGTCCAAACCAGGGGCAATCGTCTGTGCTTCGTTGGTGCTTTTTATCCCGTCGTTAGTGCTTCATCCCTTCCAAAGTTTTTGGCATATCGTATGGGGAGGGGGGAGTGCTAGTGACGTACTCCACGTACTAATTCTAGTAGAGCCCCCAAAGTTTTGTCTGAAACTCTTCAACACATTGAGGTAAAAATGATCCTTGGATGTATTACAGTTAAATCTCGTAGTTTTGAGATTAAATTACTTAAATCGGAGTTTTATATATAACGTAATTATTACGTAAAAAAAAATTTTATTAAAATTTTATCTTTATGCTTATTTCTGCCAAAAGCTTTAATATATATAAGTCTATAACTTTAATTTGTCCATATGATTTACCGATATTGAATAATATCGTAGACAGCTGACCGATAAAACTGAGTATTTAGTTTTAAAAATTCTCAAAAAACTACGTAGGTTCCGGTACCTATCTATATGTACCTATAACCTATACTCCTTACCAAAACACTATCCAATAAGAATGTTATAATTCTTTTGTTACATTGATTTAATAACTATAGGTATAATGTGTATGATGTATGTATAATAATTGTTGATGTATGCTTGTTTGAAAAAAATATGCTTTTAAAATAAAATGGTTCGCGTTATTTGTGAAAATTTAAAAGTTATTTGTTAGGTATTTAAATAATAAAGATCTACGATTCTACGACCTAATACTATAAATGTTATTGCGATACAGAACCAAGATATGTATCTTTATTCATTATATGCGTTCTAGAACGCCAACCCCTGGATTATTCGAACATTAGGTGAAATAATATTAATGATAACATAGAGTATAATATATTGTTGCACAAAATAGGTACGTATACTCAATGATGATAAATATAATGGTATAAATATTTTTTTTTAAGTACAGGAACAAATTTAATATTTTTTACGTACCTACTTATTTGGTGTATGATAATATTTAATATATATCTACCTAAAATATTTATGTTTGCCTATACAACTACCTATATCTACATCATTGGAGTTAATGGTTATAAATTAGATAGGAAGGTATAGATGTATAAAGTATTAAAGTATAAAACCTGTATAAAACTACACGATTTAAAAAATAATAATCGTGATTTAAAATACCTAAAAACCTAACAACCGCTTATGCCAACTAACTAATGTTCAACAACACTAACTATAAAATAAAAAGTTATTTAATAATTCCTTAAGTTCTATACAACCGTTAGTACAAGTTTAAACTTACCACAGATGCACGATATATTTGGATATAACATTGATTTTATTATCTAATAAGGAGCTTAAATATAATCAGTTAAATGTTATACCTACATTTTTAATTTTAGTTCTAACTGTATAGGTATCAAATTTGTGACATTTGTTTTTTAGACGACATATTAGATATTATTTAGATTATTACCTACTATACCATGTTCATTGGTAGACTGTATTTTAAAAGATTTGTAATGTCTCAAAAATATTCTGCTCTAAGTGTAGAACAAATTGGAAATGTATTCTCTCCTTTTTTACTGTTACTAAAATAAATATATTTATTTATGTGAAATATTATACACTCATACAGTCATACCTAGGTACTGAATATTTTAAAATTTGCAAGAAAACATTACATGTGCATACAAATTGGTTATAATTGAGATACCTACACACGACGATACTTTTTGGAAATTAATATACATTGCATTATGATATTCACACTATTATGCCTCAAAACTTCATACATCATAAATGAATATCATAATAACAATATAAATAAAACAATATATATAATAATAATAATATGTTACTATTGAATCCAATAACATAGGTAACTGCACTATAAAGGGGGGAATTTTTTTCAAGGTGAAGGGAAGTGTGCGGCTGCGGCTTTCCCTGGTGGCACGTGAATGGCGCGGGATATTGCCGGCAACCTGAATTGCCGGATGAAAACAAGGTAGTGGATGAATTATAAGGAAAAAGACTCGGATATTATAATTTTAGTGGACTGTATTGAAACTAAAGATTATTTACTAAATTTACAGATAACGGGACGGGGGGGTCCTTAAATCTAAGACTGTATTAACAAAAAAAAACTTTACAGACATTGATATTTTAACAATGATTTAAATATAAAATGAACATCACCGGATTTATCCCTGGATGACCTGACGGTGTCCGACGATGTAATCCATGAATACGCAGCGAGGGGGCGTCAACCGAAACGACACAGTGCAGATTACCACGACGACAATGACGATGATGGCGAGATGTCGGTGGCGGCGAATGACGCACACACGACGCGAGTAAAAACGGCGACGGCCGTGGACGTCGGCGGCGGCGATGGCGCACACACGACTTGAGTACAAACGGCGACGGCCGTGGACGTCGGCGGCGGCGATGGCGCACACACGACTTGAGTACAAACGGCGACGGCCGTGGACGTCGGCGGCGGCGATGGCGCACACACGACTTGAGTACAAACGGCGACGGCCGTGGACGTCGGCGGCGGCGATGGCGCACACACGACGTGAGTATAAACGACGACGGCCGTGGACGTCGGCGGCGGCGATGGCGCACACACGACGTGAGTATAAACGACGACGGCCGTGGACGTCGGCGGCGGCGATGGCGCACACACGACGTGAGTATAAACGGCGACGGCCGTGGACGTCGGCGGCGGCGATGGCGCACACACGACTTGAGTATAAACGACGACGGCCGTGGACGTCGGCGGCGGCGATGGCGCACACACGACTTTAGCCAGACGGCTACGGCGACGCGATTTCGATGGCGGCGAAGGCGCACATAACGACGACGTACTTAAAAAACAGCAACGCGAAAAGTAATAATGATTACTAAGTAACGTCTCACATGTTTCGAAAAAAAAAAAGAGAAACGAGAGCGAACGAACGCACGCACGACACAAAACAATGATATCTTATCATACGATACGAGTAGTGTTAAGAGGAGGCAACGCCGGGCGCACGGTAACGAACAACTTGCGAAACGACGTAACACGACCGGTTCGTTGATATAAACATCGCGGGGCGGGATCACAAGTTCACCGCGACATCCGTCAAGCGCTGATATTACCGTACCCAACATTTCTCCCCCGGTTGGAAGACCCAGCAACGTCTTCCAAAGGAAAGTAGATGGCTAGAAGCTTCGTCCCGGTGATCAAATTAAACGAACAAAAAATAACCTAGATAAACAACAAATTTAAAATAACAAATACAAAAAAAAAAAAAAAAAAAAAAAAAAAAGGAAAAGTGAAAAGGAAAAGGTTTTCTTTTTTTCTTCATGAATATGTCTGGACTTAAGATGAGACGGGAAGCCGGACTAGTTTTACCACTGGGCGTTTGAGGAATCCATCCTGGGTGCGCACGGTAACGACTCGTACTATCTCGTCCTGTCCCGGATGGACCATTGTAACTCGACCCATACGCCAGTCGGAGGGTTGAAGAGTAGGAGCATCAACAAGAACCATATCTCCTATCTTCAAGTTTGTGTCTGGTTTCGACCACTTTTGGCGGCCTTGTAACGTGGTGAGGTATTCGCGTGTCCATCTCTTCCAAAAGGATTGATGCAACTGTTTGATCAGTTGCCACCTCGTCAAACGGTTGATCGGTGTAGCAGTGATGTCCACCTCTGGAATGCTGAGGATTGGCTGGCCAATTATGAAATGTCCCGGTGTCAACGCTTCAAGATCGTGTGGATCAGTTGATGCGGGTGTTAGGGGTCGAGAATTTAAGACTCCTTCAATCCGTGTAGTTAAGGTCTGGAACTCTTCATAAGTTAGCAACTGTGTACCAATTACCCGTTTTAGGTGGAATTTCACACTTTTGATGGCGGCTTCCCACAAACCACCAAAGTGTGGTGCTGCGGGTGGGTTAAAATGCCACTTACAAGGGAACCGTGAGGAGACTACGTTCTGGGTGCCTTCATTCTGGAATAATAACTTCAGTTGACGGGCAGCGCCCACGTAATTTGTACCATTGTCCGAGAACACGCTTTCAGGGATGCCACGGCGAGCGACAAATCGGTCAAAGGCGGCAAGGAAGGCGCTAGCTGTTAAATCCGAAACAATATCAATGTGAACAGCCTTGGTGGCCATGCAGATAAATAGAGCAATATATACTTTGGTCGTTTTTGTGTTGCGTCTCTTGCATTCCTTCACCAGATAAGGTCCACCATAATCCATGCCAATCTGAGAAAACACACGGTGATTTTGAACGCGAGATACCGGTAGATTACCCATGATAGGTGTTGGATGTTGGGCTCTATATCGAGTACATGTAACGCATGAGAAAATACTGCGGCGAATCGCATCACGAGCTGAAACAATCCAAAACCTTTGGCGAATCATAGAAATAATGAGTTTGGGCCCGGCATGCAAGAATGTCAGATGGTAGTATCTTATTATTAATTTTGTCAAGTGCGATGATTTGGGCAGGAGTAGCGGGTTTTTAGTCTCTTCACTTAGTAGGGAATTTTTGAGGCGACCCCCTACACGAATGAACCCCTTCGGATCCAGAAACGGCGCCAGCTGAGCCATTGTTGGTGGCGTTATAATACAATTCTTTCTCGACAATTGTCTGAGTAAATTGGGAAAATGTGATTTTTGAGTCAGACGAACAGCAAACATTGTGGCTCGGTTTCGTTCTGCTAACGTGAGTGAACCTGTGATACCCGATTGGTTTAGGAAGGTAGCGTAGACAAAACGAAGCGCGTACCCAAGTGACCGTTGCATATGAGACCACGTTGAAAATCGGTGCAAAACATAATCTTCAGCTAGAAGTTTCTGAGCTGCGAGGGCATTGATGCTTATTGGTTTGACTTCGGGTAAATCACCTGGTTGAATGGTAGAGAAATTCGTTACAGGCCAATCAGTCTCAGGGAGATGAAGGAAAGCAGGACCGTCCCAATGTAATGAACACGCTATCAAAGCAACTGGCAGTAATCCACGAGACGACGGGTCGGCAGGGTTCTCACTCGTTGATATATGTGACCAAATGCAAGTAGGGATTAAGGCACGTATTTTTGCAATACGGTTGGTGACAAAAATCTTAAAGAATTTCTGATCGGTGGTGAGCCATGACAAAACTATTGACGAATCGGTCCAGGCTTGCATTTTCGTAATATTAATGATGGGTGAGACTACGGAATGAACATTTTGCATTAGCTGTGCCAACAACAATGCCGCACATAGTTCAAGACGCGGTATCGTTAGTGAAGCGTCCGTGGCACTGGCTTTAAGTGGTGCTACTTTGGTTTTACAGGTTAATAAATACGTTTGTATTACACCTGATGACCGAATGACACGGAGATAAACTGTTCCCGCATACCCTTTCTGGGACGCATCACAAAAACCAAGTAGCTGTACCTCCTTGTAATCGCAAACGTTTATGTGACGGGCAAATTGAATTTGGTTTAGTGAAGGCATTTCAGAGACATAATTATTCCACATTGTCGCAAGATCAGTGGGGAGTTGAGTATCCCAATCCAATTGGTTTTGCCATAATCGCTGCATGAGGACCTTAGCGTACAGGAGCGTGGGTCCAAGGGTGCCGATTGGATCGAACAATTTAGCAATAGCAGATAATATGCCTCGTTTTGTGGGCCTAGAGTTGTCGGTGCATGTGTGGTAACCGAATGTGTCTGTGTGCGGGTCCCAATGGAGACCTAGAATTTTCAGGGAAGGTTCATCCTTTGGGTCGAATGAGAGGCAGTTAGCTCGGTCCTCAAGAGGCACGCTGTCTATTATTTTTTCACTGTTGCTACTCCACTTCTTGAGCACGCAGCCTGCGGATTTAAGAAGACCAACGATATCTTCCTTCATGCTGAATAATTCTTCCTCTGTATTGCTGCCAACAAGTATGTCGTCCACATATGTGTGGTGTTTAAGAATTCCCTTTGCAGCGGGAAATTGCGGTTCGGAGACAGCATCCAAGGCATGCAACACACGTATCGCAAGAAACGGTGCAGAATTGAGTCCGTAGGTAACTGTCAGTAATTCGAACTCTTGTACCTCATGGTCAGGCGACCGGCGCCACAAAATGTGTTGATAAATACAATCTTCATCCCGAACAGAAATCTGTCGATACATCTTGACAATGTCGGCAATGAAGATGAATTTGTATAAGCGGCAAGTCAATAGTAATTCACCAATCTCCGTTTGCAATTTTGGTCCAATGCACAAGGAATCGTTAAGAGAAGTACCGGAGGATGATTTGGCCGACGCGTCGAAGACCACTCGTAACTTCGATACATCACCATCACGTTTCACTACCGCATGATGAGGTATGAAATACTTTCCTGGTCGTGTCGCAATCTTCATATGGCCCAATGACAAATATTCGTCCATGAATGACCGGTAAGAATCGTATAGAGCCTGGTCTTTACTCAGTCGTTGTTCCAAATTAAATAACCGTTTGAGGGCCATCGATCGTGAGGAGCCGAGCCCATGGGAGGATGACAAATCGGAAACGGTAGTGACATGTTGTGAGCCTGTCTCGGCAAAGACGACGTCTCGGAAGGGTAATGCAACGCAAAACCTACCCGACGCGTTCCGCGATACAGTCTGCTTAAACCATTTTTCACAAAGTTCGTCCTCTGTGGTAGGGATTGATGGCGTTGCAGGCTCTTCGACGGACCAAAATCGATGCAGTAATGTATCCAGAGATGGATTTAACGTGATCGATAAAGAATTGGATGAAGCCAAATGATCGTTTGATGAAGAATTGACCACTGTACCAACTAAAACCCAACCAAGATATGTGTCTAACGCTGACGGTAAGCTATCTGAATGTATGATTTTCGAACAAGGGCGAATTAAATAAGGAAAAACATCACAACCAAGAAGCATGTCGATCCGGGCAGGTCTATCAAAGTCCGGATCCGCGAGTTGGAGGTTTTGATACTGCGCACGTACACTTGATGGTAAAGGTCTGGCTGGCATGAATGATGTAATTCGTGGAAGGACCAACACTTCCTTGCAACTGATAACTGGTTCCATGGATTGACCTGGAATGAACGAGCATTCAGTTCGACCCTTGACCGGTATGACTTGACTCTGGCCTAGGCCTGATATCTCCGTGCGACATTTTTGACGACCCAAGCCGATACGATTGGCACACTCAGAAGTTATGGCTGATATCTGTGATCCACTGTCTAATAATACTCTCACTGAATGATAGCTACCGCAGCGATCCTGAATACGGACACAGGCCGTCCCGAGGACGACAGTATTATTAGTGTAAGACGTGCCAACAAACTGAGTTTTTGGTTCGATGGAATCGGACTGATTCGTTGTGATCACATGATTCGACGACGGACCAGGCTGAGAGTGCTTGTTTTCGGATTTTAAATGCAGAAGGGTGTTGTGACGTTCACCACAAGTCTTGCAGTTATACTTTGACGTGCAGACTGACACCGAGTGTGAGGGATTCATGCATGAGAAGCAAAGTTTATTTGACGATACAAATTCACGTCGTTTGACTACCGTAAGTTTCGAGAACGCTTGACATCGATAAATGGCATGATCCTGTTTGCAATACGCACAACTGCGTTGAAACTTTCGTCCTTGATTAAGCTCAGAAGAGGTACCCGTCGAAGTAACATTCGCGTTAGCAATAGTCAACGCCGCACGAGAACTTGGGTTGTTCTTGATTTTTGTTGAGTGGGTAGCCAATTTTTCCGAACTTCTAATATTTTCCAATACCTTACACCGATGTTGTACGAATTTAAGCAGTACATCAAATACGGGAATGGAATCTTGAGACACAGTGCTCTCAAAAAGATTACGGGTGACGGGGTCTAACGCGCGAGAACCGATAAAAAATAACATAAATCCCGCAAGATCATTCACTCCGAGAACTTTTATTGCTGCGATGTTCTCTTGAAAAGTGCTCACAAACGCTGAAAGTGAAGAAAGGGACTCCGTACTAATTGGCCGAAAGGAGAATAACTTCTCTAAATGGGCAGTAGCAAGTAGGCGCTGATTATCATAGCGGTCAATCAAAGCCTTCCATGCAATGTCATAATTGGCCGCAGATAAAGGTATGGCCTTGACGACAGTAAGCGCTGAACCGAAAACACAAATTAATAAATAATGGAATTTTTCTAACTTTCCAATATTTAAGTTGTCGTGTACCAGAGAAATAAACGTGTCCCGAAATGAAATCCAGTTAATTAGAGTTCCGTCAAATTTTGGTAAATCAATCTTTGGAAGTTGTATGTTTGAGCTACTGTTATTGTTGGATTCGATCGTGGAAGAGGACGTAGGTGGCTCATCAAGAACGGTGTCAGCAATAGCCATAATACTATAATAAAATTCCGACATGCTGTTTGCGATGGGCACATGAAGGTTGTCATACTCTTCGTCGCGTACGAGTTGTATGAGTATGTCCAAAATAGCATCCTGCTCAACATTAAATTGTGTACGAAGAGAACCGATGTCCCTTTTTCGAGCGCGGAACAATGGAAGTACCTCACTATTCACTTCCAACTTTTTAGCTAAATCGCAGAGAAATTGCATTTGTGACACTAACGAGTCGCGTTTTGCGATTGTACGTTTAAGCAGTCGCTCTGCGCGTTCTGTTTCAGCAGGGGTAAGGGGCATGGCTGAACCGTCGAAAATAAAGACAATAAGTCCTGAAAATCTATATCTACATCCGGTTCGAAGGACCAAATGTGCGGCTGCGGCTTTCCCTGGTGGCACGTGAATGGCGCGGGATATTGCCGGCAACCTGAATTGCCGGATGAAAACAAGGTAGTGGATGAATTATAAGGAAAAAGACTCGGATATTATAATTTTAGTGGACTGTATTGAAACTAAAGATTATTTACTAAATTTACAGATAACGGGACGGGGGGGTCCTTAAATCTAAGACTGTATTAACAAAAAAAAACTTTACAGACATTGATATTTTAACAATGATTTAAATATAAAATGAACATCACCGGATTTATCCCTGGATGACCTGACGGTGTCCGACGATGTAATCCATGAATACGCAGCGAGGGGGCGTCAACCGAAACGACACAGTGCAGATTACCACGACGACAATGACGATGATGGCGAGATGTCGGTGGCGGCGAATGACGCACACACGACGCGAGTAAAAACGGCGACGGCCGTGGACGTCGGCGGCGGCGATGGCGCACACACGACTTGAGTACAAACGGCGACGGCCGTGGACGTCGGCGGCGGCGATGGCGCACACACGACTTGAGTACAAACGGCGACGGCCGTGGACGTCGGCGGCGGCGATGGCGCACACACGACGTGAGTATAAACGACGACGGCCGTGGACGTCGGCGGCGGCGATGGCGCACACACGACGTGAGTATAAACGACGACGGCCGTGGACGTCGGCGGCGGCGATGGCGCACACACGACGTGAGTATAAACGGCGACGGCCGTGGACGTCGGCGGCGGCGATGGCGCACACACGACTTGAGTATAAACGACGACGGCCGTGGACGTCGGCGGCGGCGATGGCGCACACACGACTTTAGCCAGACGGCTACGGCGACGCGATTTCGATGGCGGCGAAGGCGCACATAACGACGACGTACTTAAAAAACAGCAACGCGAAAAGTAATAATGATTACTAAGTAACGTCTCACATGTTTCGAAAAAAAAAAGAGAAACGAGAGCGAACGAACGCACGCACGACACAAAACAATGATATCTTATCATACGATACGAGTAGTGTTAAGAGGAGGCAACGCCGGGCGCACGGTAACGAACAACTTGCGAAACGACGTAACACGACCGGTTCGTTGATATAAACATCGCGGGGCGGGATCACAAGTTCACCGCGACATCCGTCAAGCGCTGATATTACCGTACCCAACAGGAAGGCACAAAAAAAAATTGAACGATTCAAAATAATGTCATTATTTATTATTAATTATTAGGGCCGGATTTTTATGCAAAATTGTTTGTTAACTATGCACATATATATGCACTCAAAAATTAAAAAATATGCAAATAATATGCAAAAAAATTTATTGTTTAAAAATACAAAATTTAAAAAAAAATTAAAAAATATAGTGAAAAATTAATCCTATTAAGTGAAAAAAAATACAATTTAAATGTGTATAAAGCATAAAAATTTGTATTAATTATTGAAAGAATACCAACATGATGTAACAAAATGTGCTTTTAAATTATCAAATTGAAAACTTCTACGATTGTCGCGTAGCATTACCTTGTATTTCGAAAAACTTCTTTCCACATCTTCTGACACAATTGGTGCGTATTTGAAACAAGAAATATCTTCTGGTGACAACTCTGCAAGGTCTTCATTGTCGTTTCTTATTTCTCCACTTATAATTTCAGAAATTTTTTTTATTTGTGATAATCCGGGATTTTTTGATAATACTTTCGATACACTACACCGACGAACAACAGCCAGTAACTAATATTACTATAATATTATGTTAGCTTAATCGCATGTCCTAGAAATCAGATTATTATTTATATATATATATTTATCTATAAGATAACGTCTATAATTTATCTATACGTCTGTCACGGAATTCCCTTTTATAAAATATTTTGTTTTATTCGGTCGAATTATATTTGTCAGGAACGTCGGCGATCGGGCAAAATCGGCATGTATATCAAACTTTGAGTAAAATTTAAAACATTTTATCAAGTATTTAGTATTAAATATGCACATTTTATGTAATTACCCCGAAATATGCAATTAGTATGCATTTTGATGCAAATATGCAAAAATATGCAAAATAAAAAATTAACAGTAGAATCTACGTTTTACGAAACGTCAAGATATTTAATCAGAATTATTATACGTCAAATGTAAAAGAATATGCATTTGCATAAAAATCCGGGCCCTACCTACCAACTTTGAAAGTTGTCTAACAATCTCTAACGAACCTAGATGCGTTGTTTGAGGGGAAAAAAAAAGTTCTAACAAACTTTTTCACTGCTGCCGTGAAGATAGCAGTGCAAAAGTTAAAAAGTTTATAGCTCTGAAAATAATGTCTAACAAACTTTGAAAGTTGTCTAACAATCTCTAACAAACCTAGATGCGTTGTTTGAGGGAAAAAAAAAGTTCTAACAAACTTTTGCACTGCTGCCGTGAAGATAGCAGTGCAAAAGTTAAAAAATTCTAGCGCCGAAAATAATGTCTAACAAACTTTGAAATTTGTCTAACAATCTCTAACAAACCTAGATGCGTTGTTTGAGGGGAAAAAAAAAGTTCTAACAAACTTTTGCACTGCTGCCGTGAAGATAGCAGTGCAAAAGTTAAAAAATTCTAGCGCCGAAAATAATGTCTAACAAACTTTGAAAGTTGTCTAACAATCTCTAACAAACCTAGATGCGTTGTTTGAGGGAAAAAAAAAGTTCTAACAAACTTTTGCACTGCTGCCGTGAAGATAGCAGTGCAAAAGTTAAAAAGTTTATAGCTCCGAAAAAAATGTCTAACAAACTTTGAAAGTTGTCTAACAATCTCTAACAACTCACTAACAAATTTGTTAGACCAAGTTGTCTGTTATCATTACACTACTAAGTTCACAAGGGTACCCTCATGTACGATTATCACTATAACGTTATGCAGGCACATTATGGTGATAATATTGAGCTCATTTATACAGATACAGGTTATGTTTTCAAACTAAACTAATTCTTCCACATTTTTAATTTTCTGTTTTCAGTCTATCTTATTTAGTGGTTTTTACAAATAATGTCTGTTTTTATTTAAAATTAAAAATTTTACTAGCAGGCCTAATAAAATTACTACGATTTCTGCAGAAGTCCTACTCATTGGTCTTGGCTATATTATATTATTATATCGTATTGGGGTGCATAATGTGATAATCTGCTATTAGACAATTAGCAAGTTTTGCTTTTATTAACGACTGTAATTATGAAGTAATGTATTATAGTACTATAAATCTTAAATGGATATGTTGGGATCCGGTATTAGCGAAAATCAATCAACGGGCAAAATATTATTTCAACGTATTTTGTTAACATTCTATATTAGGTACAATCGAAAACCAAATCAACGGCATATCTGCGTTTAAAACATGTAGGTACAACGACAACTGAAAAAACAGAAGTGCTTATACACTTTTACATACATTTTATACATTTTTTTTGTTGTAAAATAATTTTCGATTATTATCGAATATTGAAAATTGAACTTAATAATTTTCAAATCATATGCATTTATATTAAGTATTATCCTTTGGTTTTTATTAAAGATTGTAGTTATGAAATTTAACAAATTGCTAATAGTGTAATGCCTGGTTATAGAGAAATTATAACTAAAAACGAAAAATATAGTAACTGCAATATCAACTTTTGTGAGAAAGAATCTAATAGAATGTGTTATATTGCATGGTTGATGTCTATTCTAAGTTACAAGATCCAGGTTTTAGCTCGTCATAGTATATTAATCTTCCACATAAAATTGCAGGGTTATAAATGTTTCCAATTATTACTGTTAACCTTAGTCATCTACAAAAACTTTCTAAGTGAGGCTTAGTTATCCGTAAATAGATTTTTAATAATAATTAAATAAAAATAAACTTGAATAATATGTACAATTAAAACTAACTAGCTGATCCTGTGCACTTCTTTGCCCGTTAAATGTATCAACTCTATATGACTCAACCTTTGTTAAATTCGTTATTTAATATTCGGTGTACGGTGTTCAAAATGTATCATAACATTTCCGTTGTCAGGAATAAAAATTCTGATTCACAGCAGTACATTATCAGGCGGTAATGGTGTGTAAAGAAAAATCAAATGCATTTGAGATATCGTGAATTTAGAGGTATTAAGGGCTGACTCTATTTTATATTTATTTCTTGTTTACAATAGTTGACGGGCAAATGTAATGTAATTTCATTGGTCTAAATAAACGAAGTACGAAATAAATTAATATACTTCAAAACTATATTCCTAAGAGTCCAGGAGTCCAGTGTTCCCGTGTCTTATTGTCTAACTTTTTGCAGACACATATATATTCGTATTAAACAAACAGTGTTAAATAAACATATTCTGTTAACAAACCTTACATGTAAAAAGTAATGCATGCTCCTTTTTTGTCTTTTTGGGTCACACAATTAAATCAGAGAACGTGGCTCTTTACAAATACGAAAGAATACGTAGAAGACAAAAGCAGTTTAAAAATTAAACAAACCACTCAAAAAACTGAAACTGTTAAAAATCAAAGTACATGACAATTGTAATTTCTACTTTTGAGTTTGATTGTATTAAAAGTTAATAATAAAATGTATAAGCTAATGTAATACAATTAACTGGCGTAACAGTAACAACGCAGAAAAAATGTTTAAGAAACACAACAAACTGACAATATTATATTACTATTTTGTAATGCTTAGGTACCTATAGCATATTGCATATATTATAGAATATAAACCATGTTGTCATTAATCATTATGAATTTAATGAGTTAATCGGTATAATATAACATTTACAATATAAATATTAATTAAACAACCTCTACCAGCTATTATAGGATCCACCATTTAGGTACCACCTACCTAATACATAATTATTTTAGATTCTGAGTGAAACGATGAATGTATTGATTTTACAATTATGTGTGTTTTTATTATTTTTTTTTTGTGTCTGTCATCACGTTTTAGGACAGTAAAAGTGCTTGGATTTTCTTCAACAATATCTTTTCTAAAAGTGAATCTAGTTGGTACTTTGGGGGGTCAAAAGTAAAAATTTCCCAGTAGTTTTCACAAGCGCCGGGAAAAACAACATAAAAACTAAGGAAAAACGGGAATTTTTACGCAAAATCGGTTTTCCAAAAAATCGATTTTGGTTTTTTGGTGTAACTCTAAAACAAATGAACGTATATACATAAAATTTTTACTGGTTGTTTATATTTACATTTTCTATACACTATAACATTTTCAAAATATTTTGATTTATTTTGAACTGTTTAGGGACATTTTCATTTTCCATTTTTTTTTAGATTTTTCTAAAAATATCAAAATTTTATTTGTTGGTTGCGAAAGCTTGAAAATTTAATAGAAGGCTCCTTGTATATTGTTTCAAAGGCAAATGAAACATATTAAAAATCCTTAGTCACAATTTTTTTTTTATAAGCATTTAAATTTCAAAAATTGACAAAATATGGAATAATCACGAAAATTAGCAAATTATTTTGAGTTAAGAATTCGTAAAAATTTTTCTTTTTGAATCTAAGATTTGAAAATGTAATACAAGGTAAAATATAAGATTATCTACCTTTATCAACAAAAAAAAAAAGTCTATGAGAAAGTCAAATTAAATTTTTGTGTGCGTTTGAAATTTAAATTTTTGCAACATTGGATATTTACTCGATTTCTCATGTAGCGATTTCCTTATTTTGTTGTAATTCAAAAACGAACAACTGTAGATACATGAAAATTTCACTGAATGTTCATATTGGCATTTCCTATATTATACTATACAACTTTGAAAATATTTTGACTCTTTTTGAGCTGTTTACGGACATTTTCAGTTTTCATTTTTTTTAGTTTTTTTTTCTTTAAATATCAAGAAAGTTTTATCTGTTGGGCCAAAAAGTGTAAAAATTTAATACAAGGCTCCTACTATATTGTTTAAATAGCAATTGAAAAATATTAAAAATACATAGGCACAATTTTTTTTATAAGCATTTAAACATCGAATTTTGACAA